AGAATCACAGCAGACTTCTCAATGCAAACTCTCAAGGCAAGAAGAGCTTGGAGTGATGTATTTCAAGCCCTAAAGGAAAACAGCCTGCAACCCAGATTGATGTACTCTGCAAAACTATCGTTCAAAATTGATGGAGAAATAAGATACTTTCATGACAAAGAGCCCCTGAGGAACTTCATGAATACAAAACCAGCACTCCAAAAAACTTTAGACAATATCCTAGGAAAAGACAATGTGGATCACAACCCCAGCAAGCCCAGCAAAATGAATCCATTGGGTGTGACAAGAAATTGAATGCAAAGGGGGAGAATCCAACAAAAAGAAAAAGTCATGAAAATGATAAGTCAATACGTATCAGTTATACCATCAATGTTAATCATCAAAATGTTAATCAATTTACCAAACAAAAGAAATGGACTGGCAGAATGGGTCAAGAAGCAAGATCCAACAATATGCTGCATACAAGAAACACACTTAATTCAAAAAAACTCACAGACTGAAAGTTAAAGAGTGGAAAACGATACTCCACATGATGAGAACCTGAAAAAAAGCAAGAGTACCTATCCTCTTTGCAAATCAAGTGGATTTCAAAACAACACTGATTAAGAGACACAAAGAAAGACACTACATCCTTGTAAAGGAAACAATCCAACAGGAAGAGATGACAATCATGAACATATACGCACCAAACACTAGTGCACTCAAGTATATAAAACAAATACTAACAGACATGAAAAATCAAATAAGCACTAATACAGTAGAAGTGGGGGACCTCAATACCCCACTGTCACAAATAGATAGATCAACTAGACAAAAAAGAAGGAACGAAATACTAGAACTCAATCAAACTCTTGAACAAATGAACTTAACAGATGTTTACAGAGAGTTCCACCCCACCAAATCAGAATATACCTTTTCAGCTGCACAAGGGTCGTTCTCCAAAGTAGAACACATACTCCCTCATAGAACATGTTTAAGCAAGTGCAAAGAACTGTATATTATCAGACCATAGTGCGATGAAATTGGAGATCAACAGCAAAAGAAACCACAAGAATTTCATAAACACATGGAAATTGAACAGCACACTTCTGAATAACCAATGGGTCACACAAGAAACTAAAGAAGAAATCAGACAGTTTCTACAATTAAATGACAATGACAATACAACATACTGGAATCCATGGGACACAATGAAAGCAGTCTTACAAGGGAAATTCATAGCAGTGAGTACTCATATTAGGAAAACAGAGCGAGCCCAATGAAACAACCTGATGCTGAACCTCAGGCTTCTTGAAAAAGAAGAGCAAGACAAAACCCAAAGCTCATGCAAAGGAGGAAATTATAAAGATCGGAGCAGAAATCCATTCAATGGATACTAAGGGAACGATACAAAAAAAAATCAATGAAGCCAAGAGTTGGTTCTTTGAAAGAATAAACAAAACTGACAAACTCTTAGCCAACTTTATCAGAAAAAGGAAAGAAAGGCCCAAATCCATGCAATTAAGAATGAAATTACAATGGACCCAGCAGAAATCCAGAAGATCATCAATACCTACTTTGAGAACCTATACACCAATAAGATGGAAGACACAGAAGAAATGGAGATTCCTACATATGAATTACCAAAGTTGAACAAAGAAGACTTAAAAATTCTAAATGACTCAGTATCAATCAATGAAATTGAAAATGTAATTAAAAACTTACCAACTAAGAAAAGCCCGGGTCCTGATGGCTTCACTGCTGAATTCTTCAAGACATTAAGAAAGGAACTACTGCCATTACTCTTTAAACTCTTCAATGAAATTGAAAGGGAAGCAATTCTCCTGAATTCACTCCTGGAAGCAAGCATCACCTTGATCCCCAAAGCAGAGAAACACCCAACCAAAAAAGAGAACTATAGACCAATCTCACTAATGAACATAGATGCAAAAATCCTTAATAAGATACTGGCAAATAGAATGCAGATCAACAAGAAGATCATACACCCTGGCCAAGTGGGATTCATGCCAGGGATGCAGGGATGGTTCAACATATGCAAATCAATCAATGTAATACACAATATCAATGGAGCCAAGGACAAAAAACATATGATCATCTCAATAGATGCAGAAAAAGCATTTGACAAAATCCAACATGCATTTATGA